TTCAGTCAGTCCTCCTACTCTTTGCATTCCTCACTCTCTAGTCACTAATCTGATTTCCATCACTGTAAATTGGGAATCTAGAATGTCATATAAGTGGAATGATTAGTATGGACGTATGTATCTAGCTTCTCTGGCTCAGCATATTATAGAGATGTGTCCATGTTGTGTATGTCACTAATTTTTTCCTTGGGTCAATACTTAGAAATGGAATTGTTGGGTTATAAAGTATCTATTTAACTTTACAATAAGTTACTGGAGTATTTTCCAAAGTGACTGTAGCTTTACATTCTCACAAGCAATGTGAGAGAGTTCTATATCCAATTCTATATCCTCACTAATACCTGGTTTGTTTGTTTTTTTACTCTTCTAAAACTTTAGTCATTTAATGTGTGGTTAGTAGTATCTTATTGTGCTTTTTAAAAAAAATTAAGGTATTATAAATGTGTGGTTATTCCCCCATTGCCACCCCCCTCAAAAATTTTTAAAATATATTTTTATTGATTTCAGAGAGGAAGGGAAAGGGAGAGATAGAAACATCAACAATAAAACAGAACACCGATTGCCTGCCTTTTAGTGGAGATCAAGCCCACAACCCGGGCATGCGCCCTGACCGGGAATCGAACTGTGACCTGCTGGTTCATAAGCTGACGTTCAACCTCTCAGCCATGCCTGCTGGGTTCAATTTTTTTTTTATTTTTCCAATGATGAGTTCTTAATATCTTCTGGATTCAAGTCCCTTATCAGATATATGATTTGAAAATATTTTTATTTCCTATTCAGTGAGTTGTCTTTTTTACTTTCTTAATGGTATCATGGCACAAAAGTCTTTAAACTTAATGTGGCATGATTTATCTATTTTTTTTTCTTCTGTTGCTGTGCCTTTGGTTGTTGTTTTTTGTTTTTTGGTGCCTTTGGTATTGTATCTAAGAAACCATTCCTTAACCCAAGGTCAGGAAGATTTACTCCTATGCTTTCTTCCAAGAGTGTTAATAGTTTTAGATCCCTGATTCAGATCTCCAATCTACCCAAGTAAACATCTTGAGTTACTTTTGTGTATGGTGTGAAGCAAGGGGTAATAATGTTTTGTTTTGTTTTTTTTAAAATATATTTTATTGATTTTTTACAGAGAGGAAGGGAGAGGGATAGAGAGTTAGAAACATCGATGAGAGAGAGACATCGATCAGCTGCCTCCTGCACATCTCCTACTGGGGATGTGCCCGCAACCCAGGCACATGCCCTTGACCGGAATCGAACCTGGGACCTGGACAGTGAGA